ATTTTCATTATTAAAACTGGAGTCTCAAGTTACTCTTTGTTGCCTCATCCTTTCTACCTTTGGTTGGGTCACCAGGTCCATCCAACCTTCCTACCTTTGGTTGAGTCACTAGGTCCAACCAACCTTCCTAGCTTTGGAACCTGTGGACCCTGGGTTTTAAGGCCCGAGCTAAACTCCAAGGTTGGGTACCAATCCAGTCGGGTCATCCGAAGCACACAGACATGGCAGGGCTTTTCATTCTCTGGTTTTGACAGCGGCGACGGCTATGGTCATGTGATTCTGACCGCAACAACAGCAATGGTCATGTAATTCTGACTGCAACAACAGCTGTGGTCATGTCATTCTGACCGCAACAACAGCTATGGTCATGTGATTGTGACCGCAACAACAGCTGTGGTCATCTGATTCTGACAGCGACAACAGCTGTGGTCATGTGATTCTGACAGCGATTGCAGCAAGGATGATGGAGAGGAGGCAGAAGGCGAGCAGGAGGGAGTTCTTGATGGCCGTGGCGATGTATGGGCTTGAGACGAAGTAGGCGGAGCAGGCTTTTTGAGGCGACTTTTGAGGCGGCTAAAAAAATATGGTCATCTGATTCTGACAGCGATTGCAGCAAGGATGACGGAGAGGAGGCAGACGGCGAGGAGGAGGGAGTTCTTGATGGCCGTGGCGATGTATGGGCTGGCGAGGAAGTAGGCTGAGCAGGCTGCACTGCTCCAGGATATCCAGTGAGCATACGCTGCGTCCTGTCGGGGGTGAAGAGGGATCGTGAGAGGTGGGAGGGGGTGAGTGGGAGTGAGTTCTTGAGAGGAAGTAGGCGGAGCGGGCTGCACTGCTCCATGATATCCAGTGTGCATACGCTGCGTCCTGTGAGGGTTCAAGGGGGGTTGGGGAGGGGGGTGGGGAGGGGGGTGGGGGGGGGTGAGAGAGAGTGAGGGCTGAAGAGGCTCCACACGAGCCAATGCGCGCATGGTGTGAGGGATTGAGGCGGGGAGGTGGAAAGATTGTGGGGAAAACGAGTTAGAGCAAGGGCTTGAGGGACGACCAATGGCAGCTTACCACGTCAGCGGGGAAGACCAATGGCAGGAGCGCTGTGATTTGCGATTGAAACGCTGTGGCTCCGATTCCCCACAGCAGCGCACAGCCGAACACCAGCGCGAATGCTGCTGGCGTTGACATGGGTCTGGGGGAGTGGGGGGGAGGGGGGGCGGAACGGAAGAGGGACCCGGATGGAAAAATGGTTAGTGTCTCTGAACCAGGAAGCGTGAACCAGCAGTGCACAGCCGAACACCAGCGCGAATGCTGCTGGCGTTGACATGGGTGTGGAGAATGGGGGGGAGGGGAAGAAAATAAGGACATTCAAGCTGCAAGATGTGAGAGGATGAGCCAAGGAGGTGTGAGATGCGACTTTTGAGTCGACTCAAAAGTCACCTCGAAGGAGGTGTGAGATGCTGGGGTAAGATGGGGCGGAGCGGATGTGAGAGGATGGACTGGAACGGTTGGTGCATCCCCGAGGAAGAAGAAAGGAGGCCCTGGCGACGTGTAAAAACAAGTGTTTTGAGACGTCTCAAAACACTTCTTTTTACCCGTGGATTGGAACGGTTGGTGAATTCCCAAGGAAGAAGAAAGGAGGCACTGGCGTCAGTTCTGGGAGTAAAGCACCCATGTCAGCACGAGAACGGCTGCCTGCGAGACAGCAGCACCCAACACCCAGTGAGCCATATATATGGCGCTTATCCCTATGGTCCCTCACCTGTCCTGGAAGACCCATGTGAGAACGAGAACGGCTGCCTGAGAGGCAGCACCGAGCAGCAGCATGAGGCGAATCGATGAGAGTCCCTTGGCGTAGCGAGCCGCGAAGAAGCAACACTGGGAGTGGCGGGGGGCGGGGGAAGGGGGGAAGGACAGAGCATGAGCATGAGGCGAATCGATGAGAGTCCCTTGGCGTAGCGAGCTGCGAAGAAGCAACACTGGGAAGCGAGGGGAGGGGGGGGGAATGGAAAGAGAGGCATGAAAGAGAGCAGTCGGTTGAGCAGGAGGGCAGTTAGGAGTGCTCACGGAGAGGAGAGGAATCCTTGGGGCAAATGCTAAGGGAACGGTGTTTTGAGTCGACTCAAAATGAGTCGTGTTTTGAGTCGACTCAAAATGAGTCGTGTTTTGAGTCTACTCAAAATGAGTCGTGTTTTGAGTCGACTCAAAATGAGTCGTGTTTTGAGTCGACTCAAAATGAGTCGTGTTTTGAGTCGACTCGAAATGAGTCGTGTTTTGAGTCGACTCAAAAGGCGGTTGAGCAGGAGAGCAGTTAGGAGTGCTCACGGAGAGGAGAGGAATCCTTGGGGCAAAGGCAAAGGGAGCTGAGCAGCGTGCTTGGCACACGCGTTTCGGCCGAAGCCTTGGTCAGCAGCGATAGGATCGCAACAAAAATGTTTGAGGCGCCTCACAGCAGCGTCATAGGATTACAGAAGAGAAAGAAAGAGGGGGAAAAAACAAAGAAAGAAAAGAAATGTGACTGCAGAGGCAACTCACGAGTGCAATGGCAACTCACGAGTGCAATGGCAACTCCGAAGACCATCATGGCTCCTCCCATCCACTGCGCTCCCAGCAGCGGCTGCACCACATAGCGCGTGAAATCGGCACTGCCACCATGGGGTGGATTGAGGGATGGTGGGGAGGAGGATAGGAGAGGATGTAGCAGGAAAACAATCGCGGACAAGATAGAGAAAAGTAGCATAAAAATAGCATCAGACAGTTCGTGTCTTGAGACGTCTCAAAACACTACTTCATACACGAGACACTTCGTGCCAGGTGCTTTCGTGTTCAGCATACCTGGCTTTCCCTCCCACCACTATTGTTTCCTTAACATAGCTTGATTTGACGTTCAAACATACCTGATATAAGCGGCCTGCAGTCCAGAATAGAAGAGCAGCGGAATGAGCAGCATCAGTTTTCGATCAAACAGCAACTGCCATGCGTTCCTCCCCTCCCCCTCCTTGCTCCCCCCCCCACAGTCACAACCATCCGTCTCGAGCTCACAGACCCAGACAAAGACCGCCGCCCGGAGACCGCAGAAGCGGACAAGGAACGCTGCCGTGAGTGGGACGGCGCAGAGGTTCGGGACATGGTGCGGGAGAGGGACGGGACATGGAACGAAGCTATGGTTCGGCCGGACCTAGAGTTGATGGTGAGGCTGGAGGATGATCTGGTTAGGCTCGGAGTGGCAGAAGCCAGGTTCGGACCGAGCCTGGGCGTTTGGCTCGGGAAGGTGGCCCGGCGGGAGGAAGCATTGCGGGAAGAGTGTTCGCCAAAGGACTGGGATGAGCGGAGGGAGCGGGTTTGCTGAGAGGTACTGTGCGGTTGGGATGGGCTTCTTGTATGAGCGGATATCATGCCAGGGGAGGAGTCGTCAGTTATCCCTGCATCCCCTACAACCACACTCCCATCCTCACCCTGGCAATTCTCCCCCATCTGCTCCTCTTCTCCCTCACCCCCCTCCTCCTCCACGTCCGATAGTATCGCTCGCACGTGCTGCTTCACCTTCTTCCCACCCCTCGCTCTCCCTTCCCTCTCCTCCTCCTCACTCTCTTCCTCACCCTCTTCCTCCCCCTCTTCTCCCTCATCTTCCTCCTCCACCACCTCTTCCATTTCCTCCCAATCGACGGTGAAGATTGAAAGCGCTCTGCTGGACGAAATCGATGGACAGGGAGCCAGCGCAGCAGCTGGGCGTTTGGAATTCAAGGTACCATCGTCCACGTGGCAGTCCTCTATTGGCTTGAGATCACGCAAAAGCCAGGAGAGCACTGAGCCTATAGCGAGGCAGATGCAGAGCACTATAATGAGTATGGTGACGGTGGTGGGAGGAAGGGAAGATGAGGAAGAGGAGGAAGAGGAGTAGGAGAGTTGGGAGACGGTGAAAGTGATTGCATTCCCGATAATTTGATTAATGGCGAATATTCCGCCAAAAAGGGCGCTGAATTCAGTCACCACAGCATCCATAGGCTTGTTGTAACGTTTACTGTAGACACCAGCGGCAGCAACGAGGTACACTCCCTGCGTAGCAAAAACGAGGAGGCATGCAGAGGGGATGAGTGGCTGAAGGCTCCTGGAGAGATCTCGTGAAAGCAGACGTAGGAAAATATGAAAGAGTTGCATTCACGCCATTCAGGCATTGGGTTTATGAGAAAAGGAGGGAGCATCGGAAAAGGGAAAGAGCACACATGCACGCACGAACGCACACAAGAAGACAAAAATTGCTTTCCAATAGGATGAATTTATGGTTTAGCCGCTGGGAGACACCAAGAGGAGAGATGGACTGAGCCGCACACACAATGAGTTTCCGGACCAAGGCGTGGGAGCGTAAGAGATGTAACGGGATGTAGAAAGAGATGAAGAGCGTCACCTGAGCCACCCAGACGACGGACCAGCAGACTCCGAGGTAGCACGACGCGAGCAGAAGCAACCACCTAGTTTCGAAAACCAGGAAAACGTGGAAAAAAAGAAAACGTGTTGAAACCAGTTTCTTGTGTTGTATGGGCGAATGGTCAGGGACGGAAAGAAAGACTTAAAAAATGCATTAAGAGCATCTTCCCTATAAGCTTTTGCAAATCGTTTTGTGGATCCGTCCCGTCTCAGACCCTCCTTCATCGTTGCAAACGGAACGAATCAGATTGAATGATCCACAATGGTGTTCCGGGTATCGGGCTTTAAGGTTGGACCAAGGGAGAGAGAGAGAGAGAGAGGGAGGGGGGGGAGAACGCACTCTAAAGTGAACGCGTTGGACCCGATAAAGGCCCAGAATCCCGTCTGCGCCACGAGGATCGCGGCGCGCGCGCGCCAGAAGCGGATGGGGAAGGGCGCGAGCGGCGCGGAGACGACGATGACGGCGTAGAGCACGCCCATGGAGAGCGCGCCGATGTTGCTCGCGCCGTGGATGCTCGTCGCGACGTTCTGCAGCGCGTTGAACGCCACGAAGAAGAAGAGGAACGCCGTGCTCATCAGCAGTATGTCGCGCCGCGACCACACCCACCGCCACACCCGCGCCACGGACGCCCGTGCGGCTCCTTCACCTCCTCCGCCGTCTTTCGAAAAGTCACCACATTCTGACAATGCTGAGGTCCCAGTCGTCTCGGTGGGCGATGCGCTCACTGCTGTCGCATCCGGCGTCGCATCGGTCGCCGCACTGCTATCAGCGATTTGGAATTTTCGCCACCCGAAGCTCCAGCTGCCGCCGCGGCTGGGGAACCTCCATAGAAGATTTCTCGCGTCGCCTGGAGATTCGGTGCCTAGCCCGCCGCCGTTCTCCTCGTCGACTCGAACTTGCTCACTGGACATGCTGACGGGTTAGATGGTCGCGACTTTGGGAGTCACGGCAGGTCGCAATCGCAAAAACACCCCTGAAATGACCGGCTGCTTTTTCCGTAGAGTGTTTTACGCCGACAGCAGGCTGGTATCACTTCTGAGATTTCTCAACGGGTTGATGCTATCCGGAGCGTCATAATGCCACGCCCGGAGCGTCGCGATCTGCTTCGAAGAGACTGTTCCTTCTGAGAATTCTCAGAAGCAAATTCGTGGACTGCCTAACTTTCTGGAACGATTATTCTACAAAAAATCGGTACATCATTCAGATGTAGGCGCTCTTCTGAGAATTCTCATAAAGACCATGAGAAGTCTGACCTGTCCTGTCTTGTCCCCCTAGAGACGACTTTTGCGGCGCCTCAAAAGTCGTCCTGACGCGATTCGCGGCGGCTCTGATCAGAGCATCTCGGGTGACAGGACAATTCAGCCGACTCCTCTAGACATAAGCTACATGGATTGTCTCAATCCATCCGATCGAGTGCGTTGCCAAGTGACATGGGGCGAGACACAGTAATGTTCATCCAGAAGACAAAATAAAGGCTCGACTGTGGGATAAAGACTACAGCTGTCCAACGCTGATACCGGCAGCCCAGCTGTTCTTTGAGGAGCTAGCTGGCACAAGTTGCGTGGGACCAGATCAGCCCCTCCGATGTGTCTGACAATTCAGCAGCGAAGAACCCCCACCTTGCGTCAGCCTTGTGAAGAAGGATCTTCTCCAACATCCCTCTCGCGATCCATCCGCACCGGGTAGGGTAGGGAAGGAATATTGCAGGCTGAGGGAGGGTAGGGTGAGCGGGAGGGAGGAATGCAGGCGGAGTTGGCTTGGTGCTGCACTGCTGCTTCTCTCGCATCTAGGAATGTATGGCTTGGTCTGCTGCAATGTAGACTGCATGCATTTGGAAGAGCGCGGTCTGGGTTCTCCAAGATTCGCGATTCGGTTCGGCCGTTTTATTTTTTTCAATGGGAACGATACCCCAAACGAGTATTTTCCAAACACGCATACCCTACAGTCAAACGGAAATGAAGAAGGCAGCTACTATTTCCACACTGTTGCCAATGTATTGTGCACTTCTTTTAGTGTATCTCTCATTAAAAACCACACTGTTGGTTCAGACGACCCGTATTGAACTTTCTAGGGCGGGACTTCGGCTGTAAGGAACTGAAACTGGTGTTCTTCACGGAAACAAGGACAGCAGTCACAAGGCAAATTCATCAGGACTCTGAATATTTTAGGTATGGATTAGGCTATATGGTACACCTGAAATTCAGAGCCTACCGTACCGAAGTCGCTGGGTCACTGTGCAGAAAATCTGTTGTCTTGTCAAACACAAAATAAAAGTCGACAGTCGAGGCGCCCAAACTGCCCGAAGTCATCAGAGGGCTGGTGCCTTCTGGCGAACTGACAACAGTGTTGTCCACCCGATCCGACGCGCTTGGCGTCAGCCGATCAGCGCAAATTCCCTCCATCGCGCATTCGTGCGATATGGGTTGACGATAGGAGACTAGAGTCGACTCCAACAGTTAGTAACTCGTTAAGAAGACTTTGACAGGTTCTGTCGAACGTGTATCTGATGCAACAAAAAAGCCTTACATGTAAAACACTTGCAACGTTTTTCACCTCTTGTACTGCCATGTTGGAAACCCGATTTTGGCAAGCGTATGAATATAAAACCTGTATTGAAGACAATTTATCTGCTGAATTCATCCGCTCTGTGGGATGTGGTATGCAAAAGAAGTGCACCAAAACACACATCATTTGGCAAGCTGCCATCCCATAAAATCAAGTGCCATCCCAGCCATCCAGAAGGTTCACCTGCAACCACAAAGAATTAAGAACTGAGGGATATGAGAGACAAAAACAGCGGATAAGCGTAGCAGAAACTGTCTCACAAAGCCCCCGGGCGAGGTCAATTGAGAGGCTCCTTGCTGGCCATCTATACCCCATCCCTAACAGTCTTCCAACACCAAACCTGGAACCCCATCCCCCAGGCCCCATCCATCAGTAGTCTCAAAATCGCCTAAATCCTTACCACAACCACACTCAAATCGCTCTACACACCCCAAAACCCTCCCCTCGCCGCACAACCAGACTGGAACGCCCTCCCCTCACCGCTATTCTGGGAAGCGTTTCTCTCAAGGGGTCTGCCCGGCGCATCTCCTTGAGCTGCTCTATTCCACCCTCCACTCTCCCCCGCACCATCTGTTGCCCATGATGGGTTGAGGGGCACAGGGACACAGCAGCAGAGGGGCACAGGGACACAGCAGCAGAGGGGCACAGGGACACAGCAGCAGAGGGGCACAGGGACACAGCAGCAGAGGGGAAAACCAGCAAACCAGCATTGTGTTGTGTGTCATGCAGAGAGGAGGAGAGAAAAGAGGAGCTGACGCACCTGGAATATCTTATTGCACTTCTCCTTAACGCGCACAATGCCAGGGTCAAGGCAGTCCGTGCGGATGGGATCAGAGAAGAGGAAACTTTTGAGTCGACTCAAAAGGCAGTCCGTGCGGATGGGGTCAGAGAAGAGGAAGTAGAGGCGCTGGGGGGCAAGGGCATCTCATACAGGCAGGCAGGCACACGGGCGGACAGGCAGGGGGAGAGGGAGCAACCCACCTGGTAGATTTTACTGCACTCCTCCTTGTCGCGTATGATCGTGGGATCAAGCCCGTCCGTGCGGATGGGGTCAGAGAAGAGGAAGTAGAGGCGCTGGGGGCGCGGGAGCAGACCAGCATTGGAGGCGAGGGGGAAGGGGGGCGACTGCATGCCAGTGGCTTCCAGTGCTGGCTTCAACCAGGGGCCGATGGGGGACGCCATGATCTCCCTGTGGTGAAGGGTTTGGCATGGGTGGGAAGGAAAAGATGAGCAGGGGTGGGAGAAGGGGTGAAGAGCATAAGAGGCAAGGCAGGCATGCAGCGTAGCGTTGGAGGCGAGGGGGAAGGGGACCGGCTGCATCTGATGATGGCGGTCAGATGGGGAAGGGGAAGAGGTCCACCACTCCCACTGCAGAGAGCGGCACGATTGTGGTGCCACAGCGTACGGCAATCCGCACAAAGTCGGTTGTGTCGCGCCAGAACAGCTTTTGTCATGACGCAGACACCAAAACAGCTTGTAGTGATTCTCACCAGAACAGCAAGAGGCAGGCGTGCAATGTAAGCCACTCACTCGGGGTTTTTGAGACGTTTTTGAAATGTCTCAAAAACTCACTCTTTACACGAGGCAGGGCAGGCAAGCAAGGTAAGCCACTCACTCGGGGTCCATCAGAACATCAAACGCATCCTCCACCCCAATTAGTGGAGAACGGCACAATCGTGGCGCCACAGCGCACAGCCATGCTCCCGCACCCAAAGAGACGCTTCTCAAACAAAGGAATGGCTGCCACGTATTGAACCATGGCCTCTAAGTGGGGCTCCATTGCACCCAAAGAGACGCTTCTCAAACAAAGGAATGGCTGCCACGTATTGAACCATGGCCTCTAAGTGGGGCTCCATTGCACCCAAAGAGACGCTTCTCAAACAAAGGAATGGCTGCCACGTATTGAACCATGGCCTCTAAGTGGGGCTCCATTGCACCCAAAGAGACGCTTCTCAAACAAAGGAATGGCTGCCACGTATTGAACCATGGCCTCTAAGTGGGGCTCCATTGCACCCAAAGTGACGCTTCTCAAACAAAGGAATGGCTGCCACGTATTGAACCATGGCCTCTAAGTGGGGCTCCATTGCACCCAAAGTGACGCTTCTCAAACAAAGGAATGGCTGCCACGTATTGAACCATGGCCTCTAAGTGGGGCTCCATTGCACCCAAAGTGACGCTTCTCAAACAAAGGAATGGCTGCCACGTATTAAACCATGGCCTCTAAGTGGGGCTCCATTGCACCCAAAGAGACGCTTCTCAAACAAAGGAATGGCTGCCACGTATTGAACCATGGCCTCTAAGTGGGGCTCCATTGCACCCAAAGAGACGCTTCTCAAACAAAGGAATGGCTGCCACGTATTGAACCATGGCCTCTAAGTGGGGCTCCATTGCACCCAAAGAGACGCTTCTCAAACAAAGGAATGGCTGCCACGCATTGAACCATGGCCTCTAAGTGGGGCTCCATTGCACCCAAAGAGACGCTTCTCAAACAAAGGAATGGCTGCCACGCATTGAACCATGGCCTCTAAGTGGGGCTCCATTGCACCCAAAGAGACGCTTCTCAAACAAAGGAATGGCTGCCACGCATTGAACCATGGCCTCTAAGTGGGGCTCCATTGCACCCAAAGAGACGCTTCTCAAACAAAGGAATGGCTGCCACGCATTGAACCATGGCCTCTAAGTGGGGCTCCATTGCACCCAAAGTGACGCTTCTCAAACAAAGGCATGGCTGCCACGCATTGAACCATGGCCTCTAAGTGGGGCTCCATTGCACCCAAAGTGACGCTTCTCAAACAAAGGAATGGCTGCCACGCATTGAACCATGGCCTCTAAGTGGGGCTCCATTGCACCCAAAGTGACGCTTCTCAAACAAAGGAATGGCTGCCACGTATTGAACCATGGCCTCTAAGTGGGGCTCCATTGCACCCAAAGAGACGCTTCTCAAACAAAGGAATGGCTGCCACGTATTGAACCATGGCCTCTAAGTGGGGCTCCATTGCACCCAAAGAGACGCTTCTCAAACAAAGGAATGGCTGCCACGTATTGAACCATGGCCTCTAAGTGGGGCTCCATTGCACTCAAAGAGACGCTTCTCAAACAAAGGAATGACTGCCACGTATTGAACCATGGCCTCTAAGTGGGGCTCCATTGCACCCAAAGAGACGCTTCTCAAACAAAGGAATGGCTGCCACGTATTGAACCATGGCCTCTAAGTGGGGCTCCATTGCACCCAAAGTGACGCTTCTCAAACAAAGGAATGGCTGCCACGTATTGAACCATGGCCTCTAAGTGGGGCTCCATTGCACCCAAAGTGACGCTTCTCAAACAAAGGAATGGCTGCCACGTATTGAACCATGGCCTCTAAGTGGGGCTCCATTGCACCCAAAGTGACGCTTCTCAAACAAAGGAATGGCTGCCACGTATTGAACCATGGCCTCTAAGTGGGGCTCCATTGCACCCAAAGTGACGCTTCTCAAACAAAGGAATGGCTGCCACGTATCGAACCATGGCCTCTAAGTGGGGCTCCATTGCACCCAAAGAGACGCTTCTCAAACAAAGGAATGGCTGCCACGTATTGAACCATGGCCTCTAAGTGGGGCTCCATTGCACCCAAAGAGACGCTTCTCAAACAAAGGAATGGCTGCCACGTATTGAACCATGGCCTCTAAGTGGGGCTCCATTGCACCCAAAGAGACGCTTCTCAAACAAAGGAATGGCTGCCACGTATTGAACCATGGCCTCTAAGTGGGGCTCCATTGCACCCAAAGAGACGCTTCTCAAACAAAGGAATGGCTGCCACGTACTGAACCATGGCCTCTAAGTGGGGCTCCATTGCACCCAAAGTGACGCTTCTCAAACAAAGGAATGGCTGCCACGTATTGAACCATGGCCTCTAAGTGGGGCTCCATTGCACCCAAAGTGACGCTTCTCAAACAAAGGAATGGCTGCCACGTATTGAACCATGGCCTCTAAGTGGGGCTCCATTGCACCCAAAGAGACGCTTCTCAAACAAAGGAATGGCTGCCACGTATTGAACCATGGCCTCTAAGTGGGGCTCCATTGCACCCAAAGAGACGCTTCTCAAACAAAGGAATGGCTGCCACGTATTGAACCATGGCCTCTAAGTGGGGCTCCATTGCACCCAAAGTGACGCTTCTCAAACAAAGGAATGGCTGCCACGTATTGAACCATGGCCTCTAAGTGGGGCTCCATTGCACCCAAAGAGACGCTTCTCAAACAAAGGAATGGCTGCCACGTATTGAACCATGGCCTCTAAGTGGGGCTCCATTGCACCCAAAGTGACGCTTCTCAAACAAAGGAATGGCTGCCACGTATTGAACCATGGCCTCTAAGTGGGGCTCCATTGCACCCAAAGTGACGCTTCTCAAACAAAGGAATGGCTGCCACGTATTGAACCATGGCCTCTAAGTGGGGCTCCATTGCACCCAAAGAGACGCTTCTCAAACAAAGGAATGGCTGCCACGTATTGAACCATGGCCTCTAAGTGGGGCTCCATTGCACCCAAAGTGACGCTTCTCAAACAAAGGAATGGCTGCCACGTATTGAACCATGGCCTCTAAGTGGGGCTCCATTGCACCCAAAGTGACGCTTCTCAAACAAAGGAATGGCTGCCACGTATTGAACCACGGCCTCTAAGTGGGGCTCCATTGCACCCAAAGTGACGCTTCTCAAACAAAGGAATGGCTGCCACGTATTGAACCATGGCCTCTAAGTGGGGCTCCATTGCACCCAAAGAGACGCTTCTCAAACAAAGGAATGGCTGCCACGTATTGAACCATGGCCTCTAAGTGGGGCTCCATTGCACCCAAAGTGACGCTTCTCAAACAAAGGAATGGCTGCCACGTATTGAACCATGGCCTCTAAGTGGGGCTCCATTGCACCCAAAGTGACGCTTCTCAAACAAAGGAATGGCTGCCACGTATTGAACCACGGCCTCTAAGTGGGGCTCCATTGCACCCAAAGTGACGCTTCTCAAACAAAGGAATGGCTGCCACGTATTGAACCATGGCCTCTAAGTGGGGCTCCATTGCACCCAAAGAGACGCTTCTCAAACAAAGGAATGGCTGCCACGTATTGAACCATGGCCTCTAAGTGGGGCTCCATTGCACCCAAAGTGACGCTTCTCAAACAAAGGAATGGCTGCCACGTATTGAACCACGGCCTCTAAGTGGGGCTCCATTGCACCCAAAGTGACGCTTCTCAAACAAAGGAATGGCTGCCACGTATTGAACCATGGCCTCTAAGTGGGGCTCCATTGCACCCAAAGAGACGCTTCTCAAACAAAGGAATGGCTGCCACGTATTGAACCATGGCCTCTAAGTGGGGCTCCATTGCACCCAAAGTGACGCTTCTCAAACAAAGGAATGGCTGCCACGTATTGAACCATGGCCTCTAAGTGGGGCTCCATTGCACCCAAAGAGACGCTTCTCAAACAAAGGAATGGCTGCCACGTATTGAACCATGGCCTCTAAGTGGGGCTCCATTGCACCCAAAGAGACGCTTCTCAAACAAAGGAATGGCTGCCACGTATTGAACCATGGCCTCTAAGTGGGGCTCCATTGCACCCAAAGAGACGCTTCTCAAACAAAGGAATGGCTGCCACGTATTGAACCATGGCCTCTAAGTGGGGCTCCATTGCACCCAAAGTGACGCTTCTCAAACAAAGGAATGGCTGCCACGTATTGAACCATGGCCTCTAAGTGGGGCTCCATTGCACCCAAAGTGACGCTTCTCAAACAAAGGAATGGCTGCCACGTATTGAACCATGGCCTCTAAGTGGGGCTCCATTGCACCCAAAGAGACGCTTCTCAAACAAAGGAATGGCTGCCACGTATTGAACCATGGCCTCTAAGTGGGGCTCCATTGCACCCAAAGTGACGCTTCTCAAACAAAGGAATGGCTGCCACGTATTGAACCATGGCCTCTAAGTGGGGCTCCATTGCACCCAAAGAGACGCTTCTCAAACAAAGGAATGGCTGCCACGTATTGAACCATGGCCTCTAAGTGGGGCTCCATTGCACCCAAAGAGACGCTTCTCAAACAAAGGAATGGCTGCCACGTATTGAACCATGGCCTCTAAGTGGGGCTCCATTGCACCCAAAGAGACGCTTCTCAAACAAAGGAATGGCTGCCACGTATTGAACCATGGCCTCTAAGTGGGGCTCCATTGCACCCAAAGTGACGCTTCTCAAACAAAGGAATGGCTGCCACGTATTGAACCATGGCCTCTAAGTGGGGCTCCATTGCACCCAAAGTGACGCTTCTCAAACAAAGGAATGGCTGCCACGTATTGAACCATGGCCTCTAAGTGGGGCTCCATTGCACCCAAAGAGACGCTTCTCAAACAAAGGAATGGCTGCCACGTATTGAACCATGGCCTCTAAGTGGGGCTCCATTGCACCCAAAGTGACGCTTCTCAAACAAAGGAATGGCTGCCACGTATTGAACCATGGCCTCTAAGTGGGGCTCCATTGCACCCAAAGAGACGCTTCTCAAACAAAGGAATGGCTGCCACGTATTGAACCATGGCCTCTAAGTGGGGCTCCATTGCACCCAAAGTGACGCTTCTCAAACAAAGGAATGGCTGCCACGTATTGAACCATGGCCTCTAAGTGGGGCTCCATTGCACCCAAAGAGACGCTTCTCAAACAAAGGAATGGCTGCCACGTATTGAACCATGGCCTCTAAGTGGGGCTCCATTGCACCCAAAGAGACGCTTCTCAAACAAAGGAATGGCTGCCACGTATTGAACCATGGCCTCTAAGTGGGGCTCCATTGCACCCAAAGAGACGCTTCTCAAACAAAGGAATGGCTGCCACGTATTGAACCATGGCCTCTAAGTGGGGCTCCATTGCACCCAAAGTGACGCTTCTCAAACAAAGGAATGGCTGCCACGTATTGAACCATGGCCTCTAAGTGGGGCTCCATTGCACCCAAAGTGACGCTTCTCAAACAAAGGAATGGCTGCCACGTATTGAACCATGGCCTCTAAGTGGGGCTCCATTGCACCCAAAGAGACGCTTCTCAAACAAAGGAATGGCTGCCACGTATTGAACCATGGCCTCTAAGTGGGGCTCCATTGCACCCAAAGTGACGCTTCTCAAACAAAGGAATGGCTGCCACGTATTGAACCATGGCCTCTAAGTGGGGCTCCATTGCACCCAAAGTGACGCTTCTCAAACAAAGGAATGGCTGCCACGTATTGAACCATGGCCTCTAAGTGGGGCTCCATTGCACCCAAAGAGACGCTTCTCAAACAAAGGAATGGCTGCCACGTATTGAACCATGGCCTCTAAGTGGGGCTCCATTGCACCCAAAGTGACGCTTCTCAAACAAAGGAATGGCTGCCACGTATTGAACCATGGCCTCTAAGTGGGGCTCCATTGCACCCAAAGAGACGCTTCTCAAACAAAGGAATGGCTGCCACGTATTGAACCATGGCCTCTAAGTGGGGCTCCATTGCACCCAAAGAGACGCTTCTCAAACAAAGGAATGGCTGCCACGTATTGAACCATGGCCTCTAAGTGGGGCTCCATTGCACCCAAAGAGACGCTTCTCAAACAAAGGAATGGCTGCCACGTATTGAACCATGGCCTCTAAGTGGGGCTCCATTGCACCCAAAGAGACGCTTCTCAAACAAAGGAATGGCTGCCACGTATTGAACCATGGCCTCTAAGTGGGGCTCCATTGCACCCAAAGAGACGCTTCTCAAACAAAGGAATGGCTGCCACGTATTGAACCATGGCCTCTAAGTGGGGCTCCATTGCACCCAAAGAGACGCTTCTCAAACAAAGGAATGGCTGCCACGTATTGAACCATGGCCTCTAAGTGGGGCTCCATTGCACCCAAAGAGACGCTTCTCAAACAAAGGAATGGCTGCCACGTATTGAACCATGGCCTCTAAGTGGGGCTCCATTGCACCCAAAGTGACGCTTCTCAAACAAAGGAATGGCTGCCACGTATTGAACCATGGCCTCTAAGTGGGGCTCCATTGCACCCAAAGTGACGCTTCTCAAACAAAGGAATGGCTGCCACGTATTGAACCATGGCCTCTAAGTGGGGCTCCATTGCACCCAAAGAGACGCTTCTCAAACAAAGGAATGGCTGCCACGTATTGAACCATGGCCTCTAAGTGGGGCTCCATTGCACCCAAAGTGACGCTTCTCAAACAAAGGAATGGCTGCCACGTATTGAACCATGGCCTCTAAGTGGGGCTCCATTGCACCCAAAGAGACGCTTCTCAAACAAAGGAATGGCTGCCACGTATTGAACCATGGCCTCTAAGTGGGGCTCCATTGCACCCAAAGAGACGCTTCTCAAACAAAGGAATGGCTGCCACGTATTGAACCATGGCCTCTAAGTGGGGCTCCATTGCACCCAAAGTGACGCTTCTCAAACAAAGGAATGGCTGCCACGTATTGAACCATGGCCTCTAAGTGGGGCTCCATTGCACCCAAAGTGACGCTTCTCAAACAAAGGAATGGCTGCCACGTATTGAACCATGGCCTCTAAGTGGGGCTCCACTGCACCCAAAGAGACGCTTCTCAAACAAAGGAATGGCTGCCACGTATTGAACCATGGCCTCTAAGTGGGGCTCCATTGCACCCAAAGTGACGCTTCTCAAACAAAGGAATGGCTGCCACGTATTGAACCATGGCCTCTAAGTGGGGCTCCATTGCACCCAAAGTGACGCTTCTCAAACAAAGGAATGGCTGCCACGTATTGAACCATGGCCTCTAAGTGGGGCTCCATTGCACCCAAAGAGACGCTTCTCAAACAAAGGAATGGCTGCCACGTATTGAACCATGGCCTCTAAGTGGGGCTCCATTGCACCCAAAGTGACGCTTCTCAAACAAAGGAATGGCTGCCACGTATTGAACCATGGCCTCTAAGTGGGGCTCCATTGCACCCAAAGAGACGCTTCTCAAACAAAGGAATGGCTGCCACGTATTGAACCATGGCCTCTAAGTGGGGCTCCATTGCACCCAAAGAGACGCTTCTCAAACAAAGGAATGGCTGCCACGTATTGAACCATGGCCTCTAAGTGGGGCTCCATTGCACCCAAAGAGACGCTTCTCAAACAAAGGAATGGCTGCCACGTATTGAACCATGGCCTCTAAGTGGGGCTCCATTGCACCCAAAGTGACGCTTCTCAAACAAAGGAATGGCTGCCACGTATTGAACCATGGCCTCTAAGTGGGGCTCCATTGCACCCAAAGAGACGCTTCTCAAACAAAGGAATGGCTGCCACGTATTGAACCATGGCCTCTAAGTGGGGCTCCATTGCACCCAAAGTGACGCTCCTCCCTCAGTCCCTTGGCCCTCCCCACCACCCCCGACTCACTCGGCCCTCCCCACTACCCCCGACTCACTCGGGGTCCATGAGAACATCAAACGCATCCTCCACCCCGATAGTCGAGAACGGCACAATCGTGGCGCCACAGCGCACGGCGATGCGCACAAAGTCGGTGGTATCCCGCCAGAACAGCTTGTACTTCTCGTTCTTCCGCTTCCCCACCTCCCTGCCGCCCCCCGGGTACAGCAGCAGGTTCTCCCCCTCCCGCAAGAGTTGATAACATGCCCGGGGGGACACCTGATATGTGGTGGGATGGGAGGGAGGAGGGTAAGGAGGAAGGAGGGTAAGGAGGAAGGAGGGTAAGGAGGAAGGAGGGTAAGGAGGAAGGAGGGTAATGAGGAAGGAGGGTAAGGAGGAAGGAGGGTAAGGAGGAAGGAGGGTAAGGAGGGAGGAGGGTAAGGTCAGAGGTGTCGCGCCAAAACAGCTTGTACTTCTCGCCCCTCCACTTTCCCACCTCTTTCAACCCTCGTGACTTGACTTTTGAGTCGACTCAAAAGTCCACTTCTCGCCCCTCCACTTCTCGCCCCTCCACTTCCCCACCTCTTCCAACCCTCGTGACACAACCTGCCATTACCATCAACGTCACCACTCCCACCCCCGCCCCCATCCCCATCCCCAACCCCCACCATCTCACCGGCACAGCACCGTATTTGGTGAACTGGTGGGCAAACGGCCCCTGCCAGTGCTGTCACAACGATATCTCGTGTTGACTCACCGTGTTGACTCACCGTGTTGACTCACCGTGTTGACTCACCGTGTTGACTCACCGTGTTGACTCACCGTGTTGACTCACCGTGTTGACTCAAACCCCATCTCATCTCACCGGCACAGCACCGTATTTGGTGAACTGGCCGGCAAAGGGGCCCTTCCAGCCAGTTGCATCACATTCCCCTTCAACCCTGGTCTGGTCTGGTCTGGCCTGGTCTGGTCTGGTTGCACCACTTGCCACTCCCATCCCCGCCCCCACTTCCAACCCTACCCCCATCCCCCCCATCTCACCCGCACAGCCCCATATTTGGTGAACTGGTCGGCAAAGGGGCCCTGCCAGTGGGTAGGCGCGCCGAGCCCTCTTAAAGTCACCCCTGTGCGCATGTGGATGTCTCGAATCATGAGCGGCCTGCGCAGCGCAGGGAGGGAGGGGTTGTGAAAGCAGGAAGCACTGATGAATACATGCAAAGGTGGCCGGCCCTGTCAGTAGGGAGGAGATGCGATGCGCCCAGCCCCATGAGAGTGACGCTCTCATGTCATGTCATGCGCATGTGGATGTCTCGGATCATGATAGCCAACCACCCCTGCCACCCCACGCGTATGCTTCTCCCCTTTCCCCGCTCTCCTTACCCCTCCCACTCCTCCCCCTTCCCTCAACGCACATGTCATAGATGCCGAAGATGGTGTGATTGCCCACAAACAGCAGCTTGCCCTCGTTGCGCGGAATCTTCTCCAGCCCTGCCATGCACCGTGCACGTGGCGGGTGGCGGACGGGGGATGGGGGATGGGGTGTGGGGGATGGGGGATGGGGGATGGGGGATGGGGTGTGGGGGATGGGGGATGGGGTGTGGGGGATGGGGGATGGGGTGTGGGGGATGGGGGATGGGGTGTGGGGGATGGGGGATGGGGTGTGGGGGATGGGGGATGGGGTGTGGGGGATGGGGGATGGGGTGTGGGGGATGGGGGATGGGGTGTGGGGGATGGGGGATGGGGTGTGGGGGATGGGGGATGGGGTGTGGGGGATGGGGGATGGGGTGTGGGGGATGGGGTGTGGGGGGATGGGGGATGGGGTGTGGGGGATGGGGGATGGGGGATGGGGTGTGGGGGATGGGGGATGGGGGATGGATTGAGCCATGGCATGGCATGGCACGGCATGGTACGCCAGCAGCAAACCATGTATTCGCCACACACACACATGCGTACCAACATAGAGCGGTCGTGCAACCCAATTTCAAAGGCGGAACTGCAGCATGTCATCCAGCATACCCTCCAATGGAATGGCACACAGCAGACAACACTCAGCACACAGCACCCATACACCCCCATCGCACCCACCAACATAGAGCGGTCGTGCAACCCAGTTCCAGAGGCGGAACTGCAGCATGTCATCCAGCATACCCTCGAAAAGACTGCCACAGCACACACACACCATGCAGCACACCATGACCATATCACACACACACACACACACACACCCACACACACACACCCACCAACATAGAGCGGCCGTGCAACCCAGTTCCAGAGGCGGTATTGTGGCATGTCATCCAGGATGCCCTCCAACGCCCGCCCCACCTCCGCTGCCGTCGCCCGCCCCTCCACTGACCCCATGTACCTCCCACCATCCCCTTTCGCTTCCACTTGAACCTCCCTTTTCGCTTCCACTTTCCTCTCCCCTTTCCCTTCCCCTTTCCTTTCACCCCCTTGTTCCTTCTCCTCCTTCTTCCCGACGGTTGCTTCCATCACCACACCTCCCACACCCGCCCCTTGCGTTGCTTCCTCTGTTGATGAAGCTGCAGCAGCGGCGGCAGCAGCGGCGGCAGCAGCAGCAGCGGCAGAGGCATTATGACCAACTCTCGCACCAACGCCTGTCCCCTTATTAGCAGCTCCGTTATTGGAACTACCACCACTTGTGGCAGTAGTAGAACCCGTGAGCGCAGCTCCACTAGCTGCATTCGGAACAGCAGCAATGCGTGCAGCAGCAGAATCAGTCCGATCAGCAGCAGGACCAGCACCACCACCACTGCTGCTCTCTGCACCGCTCTCCACACCCCGCTCTGCATCCCTGCCTGCACGCCCGTTGCCGAGTTGACTTTTGAGTCGACTCAAAAGTCTGCTCTCTGCACCGCTCTCCACACCCCGCTCTGCACCCCTGCCTGCACGCCCGTTGCTCGCAGATGCTGTGTCGCTGGGTTGGGATGAAACCAAAGCTGACTCAGAAGGCTCAAGAGAAGCGGATGAAGGCTGAGAGGCGGAGGCAGCTTGGGGGAACATGCGATCCGCCCATGCCGCATCCCCTTTACCCTTCATCATCTCATAGTACCCATCCAGCCTCAAACCACTCTTGACCCGCTTGACCTTCTTGACTGGCTCTCCTTGCACCACTTGCAGTCCTTGCGCCCCCTCCCCTTCTCTTTCCTTCCCTCCTCCCTGCTTCTCTCCTCTCCCCTCCTCCCTCCTCCCCTGGCTCCACTCCCCTAAGCTCCTCACTACTCCTACTGTTCCCCCTTCCCCTCCCTCTGCCTCTCCCCCTCCCGGGTCCCCTCTCCTCTTCTCCTTCCGCTTCCGAACCTGCGCCAAACCCCCGTCCTTCCAAGCCTGGGCCGCCCGAACCTGAGACCATTCCCGGAGCACCACCTCTCCCTGCGCCTCTTCCCGTTTCCGAGAAACTTCCACCCACACATCTCCCCTCTCCTCCTTTTCGGCTTCGATCCTAGCACCTCCAGTCTCTGGACTTGCCACTGCTGCCACCTGTTTAGGTTCTGCTGCTACTGCTGCTGCCTCTGCTGCTGCTGCTGCTGCTGCTGCTTCTGCTGCCACCACTTTCGCCACAGCCACTGCTGCCGCTGCCGTTGACTCCGCCACTGCTGCTGCTGCTTCTGCTGCCACTGCTGCTGCTGGCACCCCTGATGCTTCTGCTGCCACCACTCTTGCAGCTGCCACAGCGGCTGCTGCTGTAGTCGTTGCCACTGCCACTGCTGTTTCTGCTGCCACAGCAGTTGCCGTTGCCAGTACAGCAGAAGCAGAGTCAAAAATCGCTTCCTCTTGGCCTCTCGGGAGGAAAGCAGCAGCGGGCGCAGCAGCAGCAACTCTCTCAAGTTCAGGTTCTGCAAGAATTTCCTCAGTTTCAGATTCTGCATTTCTTGACATTGTAGACACATCGTTGGAGGCAAACGCAGCAGCATCAGCATCGGGGCCTGTGATTGGACCAGCATCCGTGGCAGCAGAGCTGGCCAATCCCAGCACAGCAGCCACGTCAGCATCATCCCAGTCCTTCCCCTCCATGCTGAACTCGCCCTCCTCACTGCTGCTGTACCCTGCTGCACCCTCCACTCCTCCTGAACATTCACCTGAACTTTCACTGCTAGACACGGTTCGGCTCGCACTGTTAGCTCCAGCTTCAGAAGCATACGAGGAAGCACTGTTGCTGCTGGTGCTGCTGCTAGCTGCACTGCTGCTCTCTTGAGCACGCACTGCAGGTCTATCCTCGCTATAAACAGACTTATCACCCTCGCCATTGGCAGCTTTCTCGTCCTCGTTATAAGCAGGCTCGTCGTCGTCAGACGGAGGGACAGAGTCCAGAGGGAAGGCAGCAGAGGGCAGCAGCACTCCACACTCCTCCAGAATGCCCCGCAGAGAAACGCCGGACTGATGGAAGGAGGGGGAGGGAGGGGAGAACAGGGGGGTGATGTGATGGGGTCATGGTGGCATGAGCACAGAGTATGTGTGTGCCTGGAACCAGAGGGAAGGCAGCAGAGGGCAGCAGCACTCCACACTTTTCCACGTGATCAAAGAGATGTTTTGAGACGTCTCAAAACATCTCTTTTATCACGTCTCAAAACATCTCTTTTATCACGGGGGGTGATGTGATGGGGTTATGGTGGCATGAGCACAGAGTATGTGTGTGCCTGGAACCAGAGGGAAGGCAGCAGAGGGCAGCAGCACTCCACACTTTTCCACGTGATAAAAGAGATGTTTTGAGACGTCTCAAAACATCTCTTTTATCACGTCTCAAAACATCTCTTTTATCACGGGGGGTGATGTGATGGGGGGTTATGGTGGCATGAGCACAAAGTATGTGTGCTCCTGGGAACCAGAGGGAAGGCAGCAGAGGGCAGCAGCACTCCACTCTCCTCCAGAAAGTCCTGCAGAGAAACGCCGGACTGATGGGGGGAAGGGAGAGGGTTGAACGGGATATGGTTGTGTTGTGCGCATGTATGGTCAGGGCATGAGAGGGAAGGCAGCAGAGGGCAGCAGCACTCCACACTCCTCCAGAATGCCCTGCAGAGAAACGCCGGACTGATGGATGGGGGAAAAAAGTTGACAGGGGAGGAGAGATGACACAGGTTGTGGCGAAGAGTTCACATACCGTATGCCATAATGGCTCATCCCTAGCAACGCAGTTTTCGGAGGCGCCTCAAAACTTGATAGGTAGTGGGAAAGAATCAACATACCGTACGCCGCGTGTGTGGCTCATCTCTAGCTGGCCACGCAGTGTGGCTGGAGACGGGCTTTAAGACGTCTAAAGACTCACCTCTAGCAACGCCGTGTGGCCGGAGAAGGGCAGAACCTTGATGCGGCATGATGGAATGCAAGTCGCTAGCCCATATGCCTCCTCCACTGATGGTATCAACCGGTCCTCCCCGCTGCATGCATGCAATGGATGGGTGAAGATGGGTGAAGGTGGGTCAAGATGGGTCAACATGGGTTAAGATGGGTCAAGATGGGTCAAGTTGGGTCCAGCTTAACTTCACTTCATCATATGACATATACGTATATCGCCTTAACGCATGCTGTGCGCCTCCCCTTATTCATGGTATGAGAGGAGACGGATCCCACCACCACTGTAAACATGCTATGGGAGATTGGTCCAGATGGGTCCAGATGGGTCCAGATAGGTTCAGGAAATAGTAGATCAAGACACGTGGCATCAGGGCGCCCACATGGCAAGGCAACCAGTTTAGTGATGGCTGTGATGGACTGTAGCAGGGCGTCGGACGGCTGTAGCATGAAATTCGAGGGCTGTAGGAAAGCATCTGATGTATGTAGCATGGCATTTGAGCGCCCACCTGGCAATGAGCAGGGTGCTGGCTGTGATGGACTGCAGAAAGACATCGGATGGCTGTGGCGCTAGATTTTGAAGGCTGCAGCATGGCACTGGACGGCTGTAGCATAGCCTTTGAGCACCCATCCACCTGGCGATGAGCAGAGTGCTGGCTGTGATGGCCTGGAGCATGGCATCTGACGGCTGTATCGATGCATCTAAAGGCTGTAGCATAGTCTTTGAGCACCCACCCACCTGGCGATCAACAAAGTGCTGGCTGTGATGGACTGCAGAACGGCATCGGACGGCTGTAGTGCTGCCATCATGGCAACGCGGCGCGCCACTGTTGCTGCTGGAAGCACGGTCGTGCTGGTGGGTGGGGAGTGAATGAGTGAAGGGGTGAAAGGGTGAAGAGACAAAGGGACAAACGACAAAGGCAAGTTGCTCAGGGAAGGGGTAGGAAAAGTTACGAGACAGAATAGAGATGGCAGTGGGTCGGTTGATGGCAGTGGGTCGGTTGATGGCAGTGGGTCGGTTGATGGCAGTGGGTCGGTTGATGGCAGTGGGTCGGTTGATGCGTCCGCTGTGATGTGCTCTATTCGTCACGCGCACTGTAAGTCGCGTCGCGATATAGCGATTGCAGAAAGGCAGCTGAGAGGGGCACAGAAAGCACCTGACGGGCGCAGAAAGCACCTGACGGGCACAGAAAGCACCTGACGGGCACAGAAAGCACCTGACGGGCACAGAAAGCACCTGACGGGCACAGAAAGCACCAGACGGGCGCAGAAAAAAACTGTATGGCGTAAGCACTACCTGAAGGGCGGGGTGATGAGTGTCCTCTCCCTCTCCCCCAGGCTGTCCCAGTCGGAGAGGAGAGGCGCGAGGGCCAAGGAGGAGAGCTGCGCCAGGACGGGAATGTCTGGCGCAAATGGTGCCTGGGGTGGGGATGAGGATGAGAGATGGGGATGGAGATGGGGATGGAGATGGGGATGGAGATGGGGATGGGGATGGGGATGGGGATGGGGATGGGGATGGGGATGGGGATGGGGATGGGGATGGGGATGGGGATGGGGATGGGGATGGGGATGGGGATGGGGATGGGGATGGGGATAGGGATGAGTGAGGAGAGATGGAAGAGGAGGAGGTGGGAGAGGAGAGGTGTGAGAAAGGAGGCGTGAGGGGAGAGGGTGTGAGAGAGCAGAGGTGTGAGAGGAGAGGCATAAGAGAGGAGAGGCATAAGAGAGGAGAGGCATAAGAGAGGAGAGGCATAAGAGGAGAAAAGAGGGTTCTTTAAAAGAGCCCTAGCTTCATACAGACGGCTTGGGTGTACTGCTCTGTGAGAGACACGGCAGAAAGCCAGTGGGTATCATAAGGTTAGAGGCAGGAGTAGCGAAGCGAGGTGACTTTTGAGTTGAGTGTGCTGCTCTGTTAGAATTCTGGCACAAGAAGAAGCAATGGGTATCAGGGGAAAGGAGGCGGGAGGGAGTAGGGAGGGACTCAGGAAAGCGAAGGGCCCAGCTCACCAGCAAGGCTCCGAGCTGAAGGGCTGGCTGCCGGCGAAAGCCACTGGCACTGCATGGTGGGGAGTGGGGAGAGGGGAGGGTTGTGAGAGGAGATGCAAGTGTGAATTTAGGAGAAGCACAGGTGCACGCACGCACGCACGCACGCACGCACGCACGCACACACGCACGCACGCACACACACACACACGCACACACACACACACACGCACACACACACACACGCACACACGCACACACACACACACGCACACACACACACACGCACACACACACACACACACGCACACACGCACACACACACACACACGCACACACACACACACGCACACACACACACGCACACACACACACACGCACACACACACACGCACACACACGCACACACACACACACACGCACACACGCACACACACGCACACACACACACACGCACACACACACACACGCACACACGCACACACACACACACGCACACACACACACGCACACACACACACACATGCACACACACACACACACGCACACACGCACACACACACACACACACGCACACACACACACACGCACACACACACACGCACACACACACACACGCACACACACACACGCACACACACGCACACACGCACACACACACACACACGCACACACACACGCACACACACACACGCACACACACACACACACACGCACGCACGCACACACGCAGGCACATGCACACCACACCCACACTCCCACACACCAACACTCACCTGTTGCAGATGACGAGGAGGTGGGCAACCGGATTAGCATGGGTGGCAGCGAGGGAGAGCGCCACCCCCGCTCCAAACGACTCCGCCACCACCGTCACCACATGGGCATGCACTAGCACACATACCTGTTACAAATGACAAGGTGTGCAAGCAGGTGCGAGTGGGTGGCAGCGAGGGAGAGCGCCACCCCCGCTCCGAACGACTCCGCCACCACCGTCACTGCTGCGACCGCTGCTGCTGCTGCTGCTGCTGCAGGTGTGCGTGTCCCTGCAGGCCTTCCCTCCTCGTCAGAGGCGTATCCCATGCCTCTTGCACCCAAGGACGCTTGCAGCAGCGCGCTCTCCCTTCGCAGGTCCTGCTCTTGTTGAATGAGATCCGCCACTCTGCAGAGGAAAGAGATGGGGAAGTGCGGGGGGGTGTGAGGGGGAGGGGAAGGGGAGGAGAGGGGGAGGGGAGGGGGAGGGGAGGGGGAGGGGAGGGGGAGGAGGAAAAGTCAGGAAGCGGGCCCTTCACTTGTGGATGCATACAGCCCCCTCACAGCGCAGGTCCTGAGAAGGGCCCTGCAGTGGCCCCCTCGCAGGTCCTGCTCTTGTTGATTGAGACCTGCCACTGCCACACTGCAGTGTGGAACGATTGGGGACGAGGGAGAGGAGGGGGAGGGAAAGGGGGAGGGGAGACGGAGGGGAGACGGAGGGTAGGGGGTGGGGAGATGGAAGGTGGGGTTGGGGAAGGGAGGAAAATGGCGGGGAAGGGAAGAGTTGGAGGAGGGGTTTGGAGAGGTGGGGGAAGGGAGAGGCAAGGCCGCTACCGCCTGCTACAGCCCCGCTACAGCCCGCCACAGCCGTACCAAGCAGTGAATGAGAGCACTCACAGCTGCGCGAGCTGGTTATAGGAGGAGGTGTCAGCGGCGGGGATGCAGAGGCAGCGCACATCGTAGCATGGCTTTAAGCCCTCCAGATGCCGCTCCAGAAAAACGCCCTGGGTGGGTGGGAGGCGCGTTGGTGGGGGAGGGAAGGGGAAACGGGGGAGGAAGGGGGGGTGGGGGGAGGGTATTTGGATGTGGGGTGTTGGGGGGTGCAATGTGTGGAGCAGCGCCAGCTTGCATCACACAGTGTAAAACCCTAAGCCCAAGCCCAAGCCCCTCAACCCGCACCCATACACCATCTCCTCTCACTGTGCCGCCCAGCCCGGGCAGGTACACTGGCAGTGACAGCTCGCGTCACACAGTGTAGCCTTTGAGAACTCTCAAAATCAACCCCATACCCTGGGCCTGCACCTCGCTAGCCCCAACCATCTCCTCTCACCGTGCCGTCTAGAGCCGAGGCAGCTCGCTCGCGTCACACAATGACTTTTGAGACGTCTCAAAAGCCGTCTAGGTACACGAGCCGAGGCAGCTAGTACCCCTAGACGGCACGGTGAGAGGTTCACATGAGCCGAGGCAGCTCGCTTGCGTCACACAATGTGAACCCTAAAACCCTACAGCTAGCACCCCTTCCACTACTCCCTACCAACCGCCACTCACCGTGCCGTCCAGCCCGGGCAGGTACACGAGCAGCGGTAGCTCGCGTCGCACGCCGCACGGCGCCAGGAATCGCGGCCCGTCCGTCGCGCCGCTCGCCTCCAGCGCCACCTGCACCAGATCGCGCCCGCTCACGTCCCAGATCCGCCGCGCCGCGTCCCCGGTTGAACCAGCCTCGTTATTAGCAGCAGCCCCGTTAGAGTCGTTCTCGCCATTCACACGCGGGCCTTTCTCGGAAGCTTTGTCCGCGGCTGTAGCGCTAGCCGTCTCGTCCACCGGTCGTTCGCGGTCGCCGCTCCCGCCTTCCGCGCCGCGAGTCGCGTAAATTCGACCCTTACGCTTCGATACGACAGGCTGGGTAAGAGGTTGGGCTCTAGACGGCCTCCCTATAAGCTGAGGCCTCGCGGCGGCAAAGCATCTCACTACTACAGAATCGCTCGCGATAATTCCAGCAAAGTGGCTGCCAGTAACGAGACACGATCGTCTCCCCGCAACGTCACCTATAAGCGAAGAATTCCACGGCGAGATAAGCGGAAAGATAACGGAAACCGACGGTTGAATTGCTGAGAGGCTCGCTGGCGTACGCCCACGTCTATCTGATTGACGGAGAGCGTCTCGGCTAGACGGTTTTCGTTTGTTACTAGCAATGCCGGCAGTTCCAAAGGCGAAACGCGGCAGGAGAAGCGGAGAACTGACCAGCGACGGCGACGGTCGAATCGACTGCACGGGTGAAACTCCGGCGGCACGTGGAGGGAAACATTGTTCCTGAAGCGAGCGATTCTGACGGGAAACCAGCCGCGAGCTAGAGGCTGCGCATGTCGGCGCGCGAGCCGCTTCCATGGCCACCCAGGTTGCCTGACAGTGAGGGTGATGGTTTCACACAGTTCACTCCTGCCCTGCCTGGTCCGTGTGTATGGCTTCGATTTACGCGTTATGAAGGTCCGATTTAGACTTCAGTACTGTCAGTTGTCCCCGAATCTTAGACTCAGAAATTACACACAAACAGAAACGAGCCGATTTTATTTCCATTAGTACGTACAATCTAAGATCGCCTACATCACGCATGCAGCACCCTACTTTTAGCATAAGCGCACACACGCACACACACGCACACACACGCACTCGCGCATCCATCCATCTCTAAGCTTCAAGTCTTCCTCTAATAAAATCACCATTAGTCTTTCTCCCCGCACCAGACCTCTCTCTTCTGCGGCAACGGAGTCTTTGGCATCACCCTGACAGGTCCGGCAGCCAATCAAGTGTCTACAATCCTCCCTGCTCTGTCAGCCACACTGCCGCCTCCACCAGCAACTCATCCTCTTCCATGCCGCCCATGCCGCCCATGCTGCCCATGCCGCCCATGCCGACCATGCCACCCACACCACCGCCCGTGCCGCCCATGCTGCACATACTGCCCAAGCCATCAAGCCCCACGCTGAGCGTGCGAGAGCATCGCACCACGGGTGTCTGCGTAGCAGCAGTACCAGCAGCAGCAGCAGCAGCAGCACCATCACCACCACCTTCGGCAGCAGTGGTTTGGAGCACTGGGCTCAGAGCGACACCAGAGGCACACATAGCATTGCCAGCCATACCCACGAAATCTTGAGTGTGACTCATGCTGCCATGGATATGAGCTGCCTGAGGATCCTCAGCTGCCTGAGCAGGTAGCACCTGGGGGAGGTGGAACTGGTGCAGGTGCGCAGCAGTGCTGCCTGCATGTTGCTCGTGGTTCGGGACGAGGTTCGGGAAGTGGTTGGGGACGGGAGGGAGAGAGGCGACGGGACGATGCACGCTAACGGGGGCCGCTGCGCAGGAGGAGCCGCTTGGAAAAATACCCATCGCGACTGGTGGAGTGGTGAGAGAGGTGGTGAGCGGAGTGGTGCCAGGAGGAGTGGTGAAAGAAGGTGATGGCAGCTGTGGTTGCATAGCTAATTGACAAGGCTGAGTCTGTGCTGACATGTCTATCACAAGAGCCTCTGGCTCCGCTTGCACTGCAGCCTGAACATGCCCTTGGACCGGAGCGTCGGGTCTCATCTGAAGCACCGTCATTGGCTGCTGCTGCTGCTGCTGCGGCTCCTGCTGCTGCTGTTGCTGCTGCTGCTTCTGCTGCTGCTGCTGCTGCTGCTGCTGCTGCTGCTGCTGCTGCTGCTGCTGCTGCTGCTGCTGCTGCTGCTGCTGCTGCTGCTGCTGCTGCTGCTGCTGCTGCTGCTGCTGCTGCTGCTGCTGCTGCTGCTGCTGCTGCTGCTGCTGCTGCTGCTGCTGCTGCTGTTGTGGCTCTTGCTGCTGCTCCGGTTGCTGCTGTTGCAAGTACCCTTGGGATCGCAAGCACTCACACTGACAGCACGGGGGATCCACAGCTGACTTCTGAGTCGACTCAAAAGTCTGCCAGCACGGGGGATCCAGAGAAGGCAGCACAAGAGTGGCTGGCGACACTGCAGCGGGCGGTGACGCAGCGGCAGGCGGTGGCACGGCAGCGGGCGGCAGCTCAGAAGAAAGTGAACGCGGCAGCGCATGTGGCGACGTGCAGTACCGTGCTGCGGCTGTTGCTACTGTTGTTCCTGTGGCTACTGTCACTGCTGTTGCTGCTGCAAGGTACGGGGTGTGGGCAGCAATAGGGAGCAGTGGAGGCGACAGGAAAGGAAGCGACTGGTTGTGTGCAGCAGCAGGTGCAGCAGCAGGTGCAGCAGCAGGTGCAACCGCAGGTATCACCATTGGTGATACCCTGGAGCTTTGAGCTATTGACACCATTGGAGCTTGGAGTGGGGCCCACAATTGCCGTTGCGCTGATCGCTCTGTTTCCACAGCAATGCTTTCGGTGGTCTGAAACGGCACTGCTGCTGCTGGTGCCTTATAGGGTGCTACTGATGTGGCTGGGGATTGAAACGCTGCTCCTGCACCTGTTGCTGTTGCAGTTACTGCTCCTAGTGCTGCAGCATCAGATGGTGTATGATACTGTCCCGCTTCTCTCACTCGCTGCGAGCCCTGCAGCAGCTGACGTGGCACCATATCCTCCAGCAGCCCTTGCAGCTGACGTGGCGCTGAGTCAAAAAACTGGTCACCAACCGCAGTCATGGGGGTGGGCACAGGAGCTGCACCCGCATCAGTGGCGCTGCTCCTCCTCATAGACCGCCCGTAACCAACAATCCCCCTGTTCACCCCCCGGGAAAGCACAAGAGCCGCGCCCGCACCAGTCGCACTGGCAGCTCTGCTCATAGGGCTCCCATAACTGTCACCGCCGCCCAACATCGGGGCAGGCACAACACCCACAGCTGCATTCGCGGCGCTGCCGCTTCGGCTCATAGGCTGCCCGTAAACATCTCCGCTGCCACCCGCCACAATGCACCAGCTGTCGTTCCACTCGCTGCCCCAGTTGTTGTTCCTTTCAGCATCGGTGTTAGCCCAAGCGTGTTTCCCCATGCTGCTCCCAGCATCGTTGTTGGTGCAGCTGGTGCTGCTGATTGGGCTGTTGCCGTCGCCGTGGGAGCTTGACAAGAGGTCGGTGCGGGAGAGATTGGCGCGCAACACAGAGAGCAGCAGAGAGTGCGAGTCCTCAGGAGCACTTTTAGGGGCATTCAGAGGAGCATTGAATGGGGCGGTTGAAGGAGCAATTGAAGGGGTGCCTGAAAGGGCAGCTGGGGATGAGAATGGGGGAACCATTGGAGCGGCACCGACACCAACAGCACCACAACCTGCAGCACCAGCACCGGCAGTACCGACACTAGCAGCACCGGCACCAATAGAAACTCCAGCACCATCAGCATTGGTTTTTCCAATGGAAACCCCAGCAGCGGCAAAACCACCAGCAGCCCTCTCTCCAGCAATGCCAGTCGTTCCAATGGCCTCGTGTGTTGAAATCCCACCAGCACCAAAGGGAGAGATGTCGACACAAGGAGGGGCAGATGCGAAAACAGGAGGAGCGTTGCGAGCAGCAGTGTTGGCAGCACTGGAAACAGCCAGATGGGTGAGCGACGTGAGCAGATTCAGAGGCTGCTGCTGCCGCTTCGGTTGCCATTGCTGCTGCTGCTGTGGCTGCTGCTGCTGCTGCTGCTGCTGCTGTAGTTGCCATGGCTGCTGTTGCGGTTGCTGCTGCGGCGGCGGCAGGGGCTGCACCACAGTGCACCTCCCAGCATCCTTCCACCCTCCCTGCTCGCCGCTGTTAATCCACGGGGATTCGCGGTCAGCCAGAGGAGAGAAGCTCACTTTAATCGGCTTGGGCGGCATGAAGGCGTGCTTCGCAGCGGCGGAGCCGGGGGATGCGTGGGACGGAGGAGAGACGGGGGAGGCGGAGGACACGTGAGATGCGGCGGACACGTGAGACAAGGGAGAGGTGTTAGAAAGAGAAGCAGGAGACGTGTTTGCTGCACGGAAACCTGCATGAGCTGATTGCGGTTCAGGAGACCACTGAAGCCGGTGCGGGGTTCGGAATCCTTGACACATGTCAAACGTTGTGCCATCAAATGCTTTGACATCGAAGTCCTCCTGAGAGGCGTGGCGCGCACGAGAAGCATGAGAGGGCGAGCAAGGCGCTGACATCAAGGAGGGGTTAGCTTCGGGCGACCGCTTGCCCAGAGAGGTGGGGGTGGACGAGCGCTGCTGGTTCAGGCAGCACGGGGCGGAATTCGACTGCAGCACCGCTCTGCACCACTCTTGCTGCGGCGGCTGCTGCAGTTGCTGTTGATGCTGTTGTGGCAGTGGTGGCGGGGGTTGCAACTGCTGTTGGCACGGATACGGTGGTGCGTGCTGTGTATTCGGTGCGGCGTGTGCATGCACTGCAGTCGGAAGCCGTAACGGGCCAGGAGGGCTCATGTTCCCCTGCTGCCACCACTGCTGCTGCTGCTGCTGCTGCTGCTGCTGCTGCTGCTGCTGCTGCTGCTGCTGCTGCTGCTGCTGCTGCTGCTGCTGCTGCCCCTGTCCCTGCTGCTGCATCTGCTGCTGCTGCTGCTGCTGCTGTTGCCCTTGCCCCTGCTGCTGCTGCTGCTGCTGCTGCTGCTGCTGCTGCTGCTGCTCCATCCGCTGCTGCTGCACCAAGTGCTGCAAGTGCTGCTGCAACAAATGCTGCTGCTGCTGCGGCGGTGACTGCTGTTCATTCCACCAATCCATCTCTGCTTTCACAGCAGCAGAAGCAGCAGCGTCTGGTGCATCTGAAGCATCGGGTGCTGCAGAGGGCGTAAACCGGAGCCCAATGGGCGGCTCACTGTGGTTGTGCTTGTTCAAGTACGTCAATCGAAAGAAAACGATCGACGCAGGCGACTTGCCTGCCGCCCGGAAATGCACGGCCGCGTCGAAACCGGGCGGCAGTTGCGACGGGTGGGTGGCAGGAGTGAGGGGCAGTAGGTGCCAATCGATCCGCTTGCGAGCTGGACAGGGGTGGAAGACAGTGGGAGGGGGTGCGGCGGCGCTTGGGGTGGCAGTGCTCGCTTCAGCAGCAACATCAGCAGCAGCAGCGGTGGTGTCAGGATCAGCCTTGGGATGAGGAGTATTATCAGCATCAGAAGCTGCACCAGCAGCAGCAGGCGCACCTGCATCAGCATCAGCATCAGCAGTAGCACCAGCAGCAGCAGCCGCAGCTAGAGCAGCAGCAGGCTGGTCTGCTGAGTCTGAGCGCGTTTCTGGCGCTGCTGGCATCGCCTCTTGCATGGATAGTGATGCTGGCGTTGTGGGTGCCGTTGCTGCCGCTGCTGGTGCTGCCGGTGCCGTTGCTGACTTAGCTGGCGTTGCAGGCGGCGTCTCCGCCGGCACCACCGAATCTGACGTTGCGAGTGCTGGCACTGCCGCTGCTGCTGATGCGGCGGGTGACGATGCCGCTCCTGCTTCGCCCTGGCGAGTGTCAGCGCTGGCAGGCAGAGGGAGGCACGTGGAGCGGGCACAGCGGAAGTAAGACCTGTGGTGGGCGGAGAGCAGGAAGGGAAGGTGGGGTGGCAGGGGGATGAGAGCTGGCAGAGGGAGGCACGTGGAGCGGGCACAGCGGAAGTACGACCTGGGAGAGGCGGGCAGCAAGGGCAGGAGGTAGGCGGAGGCAGGGGGGTGATAGAAGATGAGATGCCGTGGAGATGGAAGGAAAAGCGGGTGACAAGGGGGCATCAGCACATCACCCTGCTCCGTCCTCCGGCATCACGTCCTGGGGCACGCGCCTCAGCTGCTGCATGTGCACCCACCGCACCACAGTGGACGCTCACCTGTGACAGGCTGATTTAACAAGTCGTTTCTCGCCGTATTTCAGCCAGCAGTGCCCGTCCTCCGGCATCACGTCCTGGGGCACGCGCCTCAGCTGCTCCGCGTCCACCGCCGCCCACTGCGGAAACAGCGCCGCCAGCACAGGGGCGCCACTGCTGGCTCCGGGATTCGGGTCCGCCGCGTGACGGCCACAGCTTGCCGCAGGAAATAAGAGCTGTTGGGCAGAGCCCTCTTCACGCAGGGCCAATGGCAGTGGTGTGGCAGCATTCCCCACCGAATTCGCATTGGCGCTGGTGTTGCTACGAGCCGTGCCGCCACCGCCACGGCCGCGTCCAGCAGCACTTGCAGTCCCTCTTCCCGTGGTGGCGGTGGCAGCGGCCTGAGCCTGCGTTGGCGCTCTCGTCATCATGCTGCTGGCGCCAGTGCTGCTGGTGGTGTTGTTGCTCGTGGTACTCGCAGCAACTTGCTGGGTGGGAGAGGGAGTCGGCCCAGTTGCCCCAGTGTGCTTGCTGCTTCTGCTGCTGCTGGTGGGAGTCATGATGATCGCGCCCGTCAGGTAATCCACAGCCATAAAACACCTGTGATAAACGGTCTACTATGCTAGTGGACAGAGAGTCGGAATGCTGACCGGATCAGAGTGTCAGTCAGAGTCCTCGCAGACCCTCGCAGGCCCTCGCAGGCCCTCGCGACCGGGTCGGTTCGGAAATTTGGGTCTCACAGGCTGTTTAGGCGCTCCAAGGCCACACCAAGACGCTTAGACCATCTTATTAGTAATATATATTATCGTATCGCGCTATCCCCGGTTTGCAAGCGGCGCTGCGGCTTTGTGGAACGGGAACGGCTAGCCGCGCGTGACCTCC